CTGCCACATCTGCTACTTCATAATTTGGATGGCTCCAAGGAATGGGCTCCAGGAACACCTGTCAAGGGCTGGAGCATCTGGGGCAGGAGTGTCAGGAGCCTTAACCAGGGAGGAGATCTGTCCATCACAGGGCAGCCCATCAGAACCTGACCCCATCTGCCTGAACTCAGTGCTCAGGGTTTCCACGAGGCTGGGAACAAAGACTTCTCCTGTCAGGCCTGATCTTCACAGAGCAAAGAGGAGAGATGTCCTTTGGGTCCTGGCTAATTCCAGCCTTGCCCCACCCCTTTGGACCAGTAAAGATGTTCCTGGAGTCCTTTGCGGGGTGCTATCCCCGCTATCAATTATGTGACATGGCAGGAAGGATGAGATTGCTTGGACACCTTGGGATGTGCTGTGGTGGCACCTGGGGGATGCTGACTCAGGGAGGGGCAGGGGCCGCACAGCCCTGGTGTCAGCAGCAGCAGCAGCAGCAGCAGCAGGGAGTGTCCCCTGTGCAGATTGGCCCGGCTGGAGCTGAGCAATGCCAGGGCTGCTATAAAAGCCCTGCCTGGGCCAGCCTGGACCAAGCAGTGCCCTGGCCACCTTCTCCTCCTCGGGAACAAGGGTAAGTGTGCCGGCTCTCCTGCTCGCGGCTCCCTGCTCCAGCCCCGGCCCCTGTGGCTCGGGCGCTGGCCTGGGCTGCTCTCCTGCCACGGCTGCCCTCTCTTGCAGAGCAGCCTCGCATCCCAGGCCAAGATGTCCTGCTACGACCTGTGCCCACCCCGGAGCAGCACGGAGCTGTGCCCGCCCAGAACCAGCGTGGCTGTGCCCCAGCCCATCGCTGAGAGCTGCAACGAGCTGTGCGCCCGCCAGTGCCCCGACTCGTCTGCCTTCATCCAGCCCCCGCCCGTGGTGGTCACCTTCCCCGGGCCCATCCTCAGCTCCTTCCCCCAGCAGGCCGTGGTGGGCTCCTCCGGAGCACCGGCCTTTGGCGGCTCCCTGGGGCTGGGCGGCCTCTACGGCGCCGGTGCCACCCAGGCCTCGGGCGGCCTCTGCACCTTTGGCAGAGCCTCCGCTGCTGCCGCCTGCAGCCCTTGCGCCTTGCCCCGCTACAGCAGGAGGCTCTGGGACACCTGCGGGCCCTGCTAGAGCCACCACCAGCAGCCCCAGAGCCCCGCCGCCGCCCCAGCCCAGCGTGGAGAAGCTGAGCTCGGCACAAGCTGCCCTGGCCTCCTGCAGCCCGTGACACCCGGCCTGCCCGGGGGCTGCCGCCGTCCCCATCCCTGCCTCTGCTGCCCTTCTTGCTACAATAAAGTTTTTCTGCATCCAACTCCTGTCTCTCAGTGTATTTTTCTGTCATTCTCTTCATTCTACAACTGAACGGCACATTCTGGTCCCTCCATTTTTCGCCAGGGCATATCATGTGATTTTTAGCCCTTTGAATGATCAGGTTTTTTCTGCTTTTTTTGTATCACTTCATGTTCTAACCTTTGTTTTATTCAGGATTAGTTCCATTGTTTTTTCCTAGTTTAACTCTTTCTGTTGGACAGGCTGGGGAGTGTTTGCTGTGAAAAAGAAATTGGGTGGTCTCTTTCCCATGGTTTAACATGTTCTTCTTATATTCCCATAACTCTCAGGTATTTTATGCTTTCCGTGTATTGACTCCACAGCATGTAAAGGGCACAGGACCTCTGGCCTAGTGGAGTGACTGCACACTCACGGTCACAGCAGGAGCAGATGTTCCCAGGCTTTGAGGGCATCAAATCCCAACGTGCCCTTCATTTGTCCCTCCTTGGAGTCCCCATCTCGAGCTGTTATTCTGTTTTTGCAGCATGATTAAATTATTTTAAGCATCCAGGGGTCTGAGACTTCTTTTGGAAAACCTGGTTTTGAGGCAGTGAGAAATCCTTGTGTGAGTGGGACTGTGAGAAGTGTGGGGGTTCAAGCTGAGGTCACTGGAACCACTGGTCACTGGAGCCAGTGGTGGCTCAGATGGTTCAACTGTATGAGATCTTCAGTTCTCTGGGCCAGTTGCCAGGGTGGGGATCGGTCCTGGGCTGGACTCGATGATGTTGGAGGTGTTTTCCTAGCTCCTGGGATGCTGAGATGGCTCCTGGAAGGTGGGACAGGGAAGGTTCCTGGCCATTGCACCACCTCCTTTCCCCGCAGTCAGCAGGCACGCAGCTCTGCCCCGTCCCATGATGGTCACTCTGTTCCTGCTGCTCCCAGCAGTTCAACCTCCTCGTTCTTCCAGTCTGAAACTCTGATTGCCTCTGGCTCAGTGCCACTCAGCTTTCTGTTATCAGGGCTCCCGAAAGATGTGCCAATGCCAGGAATGCAAATGAATAATTAGAGGTTTTTCAGGACGGATCCTTGTGCGTAACTCCTGCCTAGACACTGAGAGAAAGGTCAGCCCTTTGTTGGGTTTTGCAATGAGACATGAGCTCACTCTGAGCAGGCATCCAGCCCAGATTAAAGCTGTGTAATCATTGTTCCCTAGGTGTTAATGGCTCTCTTCAGGGGCGTTATCTTGGGTTTAACACTTGTCTGACACAACACCTAATTAGGCTGGTACCTGCCTGGCACTGCCTGGCTGAGAGGATCGGGTGAAATTTGGCAGTGGCAGCTCAGGTGTTCGGCCGGGCTCATGATTTACACCCAAGCACCTCTTGGAGGCTGCGGGTGGAAGCAAAGATCAGAAGAGAAAAGGAGGGAAAAGCATCCGCGTTTTGTAAAGTTGTTCCAGGGGCTGCCCCGGATGAGGGGAAAGGGGACAGGAAGGATGAAGCAAGGAGAGAGATGAGAACCTGCCTGAGGAGATCTTTTGGAGATGCAGCAGGGAATATTCAGGTTGGACATAGGAATTTCCTCCTGGAAACGGCAGTCAGACCTTGGAAGGAGCTCAGGAAGGTTTGGAATTCCCATTGAGATGTCCAAGGAATTCCTGGATGTTGGGGTTGGTGACCAGGTGGGAATCTGGCACGGCTTGGATGATCTCAAAGGTCTTTTCCAACCTAAACAATTCTGTGGAGTTTTCTTGGTCAAAATATTCTCAAATAAGTGTTTGTTTACCCATCAAAATTGTCTTGTTTTGTGAAAATAAAAGCAGCATTCACAAGTACCATGGACTAATTTTCATTTCAATTTATTGCTTACAGCCATCTGACAGATCCAGTCCAACACAAGGGAGAATGTTGAAATCACCTGTGATAAATAAGATCTGCTGTTCCTTGACACTGATTAAGATATTTTCTTTGAAAGAGTCCCAGCGAAGGAAGAGGTAAATCCTCTCTAATGCATCAGTTCATGTTCTTTTTACTTTACCTGCTGACAGGTTCAGCCAAACCCTCCCCAAGGCAATTTATGATGGCAGTGATTAACGAAAAAAGAGAAGTAGTGTCTCACCTTTGCTCATCAGATACCTATCTCAGAAATTGTTTCCCTTTGTTCACCTTCCTCCTATCATTCCTTTTCAGAACGTGCTTTGGCAGAACTTCAGGCGGTATTTTTTGGTTTTGTCTTTGAAGGCAGTTGGCTGATTTCTAATACATCGCCTGGAAGACGTGAAATTAAAAGGAATTGCAGCACTAAATTAACACCTTGAGAAAAGAGCCATGGAATCTCCTGGGTTGGAAGGGCCACACAGGGATTGATTCTGACTCCTGGCCCTCCACAGGCACCTCAGGAATCCCACCCTCTGCCTGAGAGCATTGTCCTTGAGCTCTGGCAGCCTTGGGGACAGGATAGTTCCCTGTTCCAGTGCCAGACTCGATGAAAATAATTAGAATAACTACTGGAAGTCTGACAACTGGAATAATTAGTGTAAGGCAGAGAGGACTCTCAGCTGCAGGTCTGACCAAAAGCATCTCAGCCTGGTTCTGGTGGGGAGGAATCCCACTCTGGGGCTTAACAGGAAACACAAAGGCAGGTGTTGTATGCAGGATTTTTTTATTGCAAGGGCAGGGAAGTCCCCACTGGGCGAGGACACAGGAGGCAAAGACAAGCAGGTTGTTCCTCACTAGAGCTGCTCCCTCAGCCTCGAGGCAGGAGGCAGGAATTTCAGGGAGAAGCCAGAGGATGGTGGAGCAGCACATTTGGCCATTGGAAGGGGCGGGGAAGAGGAGAACAAACAAAGGAAGGAGGAAATAAAAAGGAGAATTTCTAGAGGGGTTCTGACTCCATGGTCTGAAGTTCTGATGCTCTTCCCCTTCCTCAGGAGCTCAGGTGAGGATCCACCGGTGTCGTTTGCCGAGCTGAGGGATTTTTCCCTCGGGTTTAGCAGGAGCCACAGCTGCCGCGGCGGTAGCGGCCGTAGCGGGAGGACCAGGGGCTGCAGGAGCCGAAGGATCTCCCAAAGCCATACAGGCCCCGGTACCCACCACAGGAACCATAGCCCAGGGAGGAGCCCCCGTAGCCCCACAGGCCCCCGTAGCCCAGGGATCCGTAGCCCCCATATCCATAGAGACCCCCGTAGCCCAGGGACCCATAGCCCCCATAGCCCAGGGAGGCTCCGGAGGCCGGCAGGACGGGAGCTCCAGCAGATCCCACCACGGAATCCTGCGGGAAGGAGCTGAGGATGGGCCCGGGGAAGGTGACCACCACGGCGGGAGGCTGGATCACGGTGGTGGAGTCGGGGCACTGGCGGACGCACGGCTCGTTCCCGCTGCCGGCCACGGGCTGGGGCTGGAAGACGCCGCAGGCAGAGGAGGGGTACAGGTCGTAGCAGGCCATCTTGCAGGGATTGGAGGTTGATCTGCAAATGGTTGGAGCAAGTACAAGATGTTATTTGCCAACAGAAAAGGGCTCTGGAGCTGGCTGCTTTTCCCCAGAAAGGAGAGCTTTGAAGCACTGGAATTTCCTCACATCTCTTAGAGATGAAAATTGAATAAGAACAGCCAAAATTATTTGCTGGGGAACTTTGGTGAGTCAGGGGATCAACAAGGAGAGGGACTCTACTCCAGGAGTGGAGTGTGTTGTTCTTCAGGAATTATGACTCTGGCTCTTCATTCCCACTGATCTCCTTTGTGCTGATCCTTGTCAAAACTGGGATTATAATTCATTGTCTGTTCAGATTCCCTCGTAGCTTCTTAGATGAGACCATTACAAGGGAATTGCAAGGATAATTGTCCCATATTTCCAAACATTGAATCAGGGCTTTGAGATCCCTACAATGAGCTTAACACCCCCATTTTGATCTTGGGCTATGAACTCTTTTGAAAAATTCTCACACCAAATCACTTGCTCTCATTAACTTGGAAAACCCAGCGCTTCACATTTCAGCTCCTTAAGTTCCCTCCAGGATCCTTTTAATCTTAAAAAATGTAATACAGAGCATTTTAAACAGTTCTCAGTTCTTCTCTGTGTCCTACTCCAAGCCAGTGCCTGGTCTCTTGGGGTGTTCATGCCCATTTATCTTGAATTAAAAGCATTTCAGTTGATTTGTAATAAAGCAAACCGGATCTAATGGCAGATCTGCCTCTAAACTCAACATTTCCCTGTGAACCAGGAAGATTTAAGCTTTCCAAATAATTTCCAGTCACCCATTTAACCAAACAGAGGATAGGAATAAACACGGAACCTTTCACATTATGGATACAACTGGTGAAGGCAACCCAATATCCAGCAGAATTTTCTGATAAGAGACTTTCGGTTTGGTTTGAAATGGAGTGCCAACCTCGAAAGCAGAGAGCCACCTTCCATAAGGTTTCTGCAAGGTTTATCTCTTCACCTCAAATTTTGCCTACGAATTCCCAATGGAAGAGAGCAGCCCGGATGAATTGTACAGCAAAGAGAGATTCCAAAAGTAGCAAAGAGAGACTCCAAAAGCAGCAAAGAGCAATTCCAAAAGCAGCAAAGAGCAGCTCCAAACTTACCAAGTCGTTGAGAAGAACGAGTGAAGGGAAGACGTTTGGGAGAACCCCAAGTGGAGACAGCTTTTATACAGTTCAGAGTTGCCTGAGGGCTCAGAGGAGCTCATTAGTTGACACAGAACATTTTTTTGTATTGATTGCTCCTCAAAGTGATGACATTGTTGCTCTTTTTGTTTATTCTCGATTTTAAATGCCGCGTTACGTCACACAAGGTCCTTTGAGCTGAAATGCTGATGGGTTGAAATTGGTGCATCTTTCATCCTAAAACATGATTCACGAGTTAGTGTCAGTTTTCTGGAGTGACACCATGTACTGAGCTGTTTATACACAAATATTCTTGTCCTGTCTTATAAGACAATTATGCTCAGACATTTACAAAAATTATTAAACTCTTAGAATGGTTTGGGGACACAAATATCCAGAAATGTCTTATGTTTTTTCTGACCCTTAAGCCACAGTTTAAACTTGAGTTTAGTTCTGAAGGGAGAGATATTTATGATTTTAAGGATTAGAATGGAAAGCTCAAAATAATCAGAGTCTACATCGAGTTAATAATAAAATCTATGTTTTATTGAGATGGTTCAATTTCTGGAAGTGTTCAAGGCTGGTTTAGATCGACAGTCAATTCTGTCCATGCAGGTGTTGGAACAGGAGGGTCTTTGAGGTCCCTGCCAATTTTAAACCATTCCATGCTTCTATATAGGAGAAATCCCAAATTTAGCTGTAGTGGAAATAAAAACCCCTTTTTTTTTTAGAGAGGATCTTGCAGCTAATCCCATCTTTCAGCACAAAGCAATTACAAAGTGGGAATCTGCTGGGAAGAGCAAATGTTGGATTTGCTGAGGTTTCTCTCTCTGTTTACACCACGATCATCCTACTCTATCATTATCGTCGTTATCATAATCACCGACGTGGTTATCTTCACACCATGTATTATTTATAAATTATGAGCTTTTTCAAATCTGGAGATACGTATGGGGATTTCCCGAGCCATTATCCTGGGGAAAAAAAAAGTCATCTCCAAGTTTTACAAGAACATTCCAAGGGATTTTCAAGCGCCTCCTGAACACCCATTACTGACTTGTTCCTACTGTGTCAGAGTTACATAAAATCTGCGCCTGGGTGTAAACACACCACAATTACAGGAGATTATCTCATTAAAATGCATAAATTGAGGCCACTTGGGTTTTTCCCATAATCAGATCTTGGTTTATAACATTGACCTTTCTGTCTTTGACCTTAAGAATAAAATCTATTTTTTATTTTTTATTTAATACACAGAATATCGTGTCTCTTACATGTAAGAATAGGAGGGGGAAAACACAAGAAAGGAAAGGAAAGCTCAATGAAACAACTCAGAAAACTCAATTTCCATGGAATTGTGGCTGCCAGGTGAAATATTTCTCTGTTTCCAGGGACTGGAAGAGAACCAGTGGAGAGTTTAAGAAGGAACATGGGGAGAGGCTTCTTCTAAGGGTTGAACTGGCAGGAAAAGAGAGGATGGATTAAAATTGACGGAGAGGAGGTTCAGATGGGATATTGGGCAGGAATTGGGCACCCTGTGAGGGTGAGGAGGCCCAGGCACAGATATTCCATGGATTCCCCCTCCCTGGAAGTTTCCAAGGCCAGGATGGACGAGGTTTGAAGCATCCTGGTCTATGGAAGGTGTCCCTGTCCATGTCAGGAGGTGCCACTGGATGATCTTTGAGGTCTTTTTCAACCCAAACCATTCCATGTTAGCATTTTATGGCATAAAGTCCATTCAAAGATGCTCCTGATTGTCCTTGCCTTGCTTTGAGAAGGTGGAGGAAGAAATGCTGAGCCTGCAGAACCAATGTTTTTCCCTTTGCTATTTGTCCCCAGTCCTCATTTGAGGTCCTAAAAGAAATTCCATTGGCGCCATGTCTCCTGTTGATCTCACTCAAGGACCTTTACCTGGACAAAACCAGTGTCCTTCAGTCATCCCAATTATAAAAGGATTTATAAATAAATGTAGTCAGCTTTATTTCCTCCCCTAACGCTAAGGAAAGCAATGGGATCATAAAAAATAATTCCCCACATAAAGCCCGGAGACAATAGAGGTCTGGGGTGGAATGTGCAGCTCACACTGTGTGTGGGTTTGAAATGCACTAGCAATAAGCAAAAACAATTTCAGCACTTTTGGGGAATTATGTGTCCTGCAATTTGGGGTTGGGACCTAATTATGAACTGGCGCATCAGGTGGCCAGTGCCCTGTGGGCAAGCAGGGAGCTCTATAAAAGGTGTTTGCACCAGGTCCTTCCATCCACTTCTCTCACCTGTTCTGCCTTCGTGAACCAGGTAAGACACTTCTGTCTCAAGCTTCTCTAAACTGAACTTTCTGTCAAGAAATCTGGTTGCAGTCAGGCTGCTGCTGCTGCTCTGTAGGATATTTGGTGTTTAATTTCTCATTTATCTCTAGGTCTTTCAGGAGAGGGATTGAATCCCCAAATTATATTATTTTAGCGCTCCAAAGGGTTACTTGCCTGTATTTTAGGAGATAAAGAATAACCTGTATATATTTTAGGAGATAAAGAGTAACCTGTATATATGCCTGTATTTGGTAGTTTTGCTGAGTTTGTAACAGGAAAGATAAAATCTGAGTGGACATCAGCAGCTAAGAGTAATGTATTGCTGATGAAATTACCAGATCTGGAAATTCAAAGATACAACTGAAGAGTACAGACTGTGTTGGACTGAAGAGTAACCTGGAGATCATAGTCATAGGAAAAATAAGAAAAGGAAATACATTTACTTCCCAGATTTATTACTGCTTCTCTTGGACTGCTTCAGCACAGCCTGAAGTTTGCTATTCCTTTAAAATTAATAGAAATTTACACCTTCCACAGATCAACCTCCAATCCCTGCAAGATGGCCTGCTACGACCTGTACCCCTCCTCTGCCTGCGGCGTCTTCCAGCCCCAGCCCGTGGCCGGCAGCGGGAACGAGCCGTGCGTCCGCCAGTGCCCCGACTCCACCACCGTGATCCAGCCTCCCGCCGTGGTGGTCACCTTCCCCGGGCCCATCCTCAGCTCCTTCCCGCAGGATTCCGTGGTGGGATCTGCTGGAGCTCCCGTCCTGCCGGCCTCCGGAGCCTCCCTGGGCTATGGGGGCTATGGGTCCCTGGGCTACGGGGGTCTCTATGGATATGGGGGCTACGGATCCCTGGGCTACGGGGGCCTGTGGGGCTACGGGGGCTCCTCCCTGGGCTATGGTTCCTGTGGTGGGTACCGGGGCCTGTATGGCTTTGGGAGATCCTTCGGCTCCTGCAGCCCCTGGTCCTCCCGCTACGGCCGCTACCGCCGCGGCAGCTGTGGCTCCTGCTAAACCCGAGGGAAAAACCCCGAGTGAGGTCTCACCAACAGAAGAAATGCGATGGTTTCACAGCCAAAGAGCTTGGAACCACTGCTGCTCCATCTCAAAACCATGGATTTGTAGTTGTCCAGTCCCTTTTATATTTCTCCTTTTTAATCTTCTGCCTTAAAGCTTGTCCCTCTCCATTTCTGCGACGCCTGGGGTAAATATGGAACAAAAGGGCTCTAAATGGGTCCTGTTTGTTCACATCAACAGCTGGGATTTGGAAAAGAACCCGAATCAATCACATGTGAATGTGCCTCTGGCTGGAGAAGAGGTTCTTGCTTCTTGGAGACTCTGCAAATGCATTACTGTGCTTGTTGTCATTAAAAGTTTATTGCATCAAAGTTGCCATGTTCTGGTGTTCTTTTCTCCTTTTTCAACATGGTTATTTGCCTTTGGAGAAGTCTCACCTGTGCAGGTGTCCGTAGCAGCCTAAAATATCCTGGAATCTTGGAATGTTTGGGTTGGGAGGGATCTTAAAGCTGATCTCATTCCGTGCCCTGCCAAGGCAGGGACACCTCCCACTGGCCCAGGTGGCTCTGAGCTTCATCCAACCTGTCCCTAAACCATGGAGATAAATTTCCTGCCCAAAAAACCAGGGAAGATTAATTTTCTGTATGAATTTCTTCCAAGTAAAGCTTTCATCCCTTTGAACTTCATGTTCTGACTCAAATATTTCCTCGGTCAAATTCTTAAACTCTGTCCTCAGGAAAAGCCTCAGCAAAAAATTAAATCAATTTCCTGTCAAATCTTTAAATAAAGTTTTCTGGGCTACAGAGTGAAACTTTGAAATCTGAAATCTTTCTGAATAATCATGAAATATAAAGTGGTGGATGGCTTTTGTCAGAAAAACAATTTCTTCAGGTATTCATTCACACCAGCAAGAAAAACTGGAGAAGAAAAAACCTGGGAAGATGGTACCTGGAAAAATTAAAAGGTAGGAAACACCATAACCTGTGAGCAAATCCACCCTTCTTGTTCTGGTGAGATTCCACCTTCCACCATCCTCAGGGAAGCTGGAGAGGGAACTGGAGTGACAAGACAAGGGAGAATGGATTCAAACAGAGAGAGGGCAAATTTAGGGAGGATTTAGGGAAGAAATCCTTCCCTGTGAGGGTGGCTAGGCCCTGGCACAAGTTTTCCTGGGAATTTCTGGTTGCCCCATCCCTGGAAGTGTCCAATGCCAGGCTGGAGCAACCTGATCTAGTGGGAAGTGTCCCTGCCCATGGTGGGGGTGGAAGGAGAAGATCTTTAGGGACCTTTCAATCCAACCCATTCCATGAGTCTATGACTCTGTAATATTATTTTTGTGCCCCAGGACAGCTGAGGGGGGAGGATTCCTGCTCCCAAATTCTGGATCAAGGAACAGGGACTGACTTCACTCCCAGCTAAGACATTCCAGGTGGTTTTGAACTCTAAACCTCAGCCTATTGTAAGGATTTAAATTCCCCTTCCCCACCCACCCCACCCCGTACAGAGAGAAGTGTTGCAAGCCCGCAGCCAGAGAAATGGAAACTAAAACTTCGTTTGCTTTTTGCAGAACAGAATCACTTTATTGAGAAAAAAAACATTCACAGAAAAGCATTGCAAAGCATGAAGAACATCAGATCACAGGCAATTCCTTCCGTAGTTGCTCTTCTCCAGTTGGACAGTGAAGTTGCATTTTAGAATAAGATAAATTATTATTTTATCCCACGTATTACATACACAGACAGGAAAAAAAGCCCAGAAGGTGACAAGTAGAAGGTGAACAAATCAAGGAGGAGTTGTGTGCTTCCAGCTCCACTGGAGTGAGGTGGCCGCGGTCACAACACCTCCTCTGGGGCCAGGATTGTATCTCTCCATTGCCGGTGATTCCTTACTCCGAGATGTTTCCGCAGGGTTTAGCAGATGCCCCAGAAGCCGCGGCCGTAGCGGCCGTACCAGGAGGAGTAGGGGCTGCAATAGCCAGAGCCAAAGGCTCTGCCAAACAGGCCCCGGTACCCCCCACAGGAACCCAGACCCCCGTAGCCCCACAGGCCCCCGTAGCCCAGGGATCCGTAGCCCCCATATCCATAGAGACCCCCGTAGCCCAGGGACCCATAGCCCCCATAGCCCAGGGAGGCTCTGGAGGCCGGCAGGACGGGAGCTCCAGCAGATCCCACCACGGAATCCTGCGGGAAGGAGCTGAGGATGGGCCCGGGGAAGGTGACCACCACGGGGGGAGGCTGGATCACGGTGGTGGAGTCGGGGCACTGGCGGACGCACGGCTCGTTCCCGCTGTCAGCCAGGGGCTGGGGCCGGAAGACGCCGCAGGCAGAGGAGGGGTACAGGTCGTAACAGGCCATCTTGCAGGGATTGGAGGTCAACACAGGCTAAAAATGAAGATAAGGAGTTCAAAATTCATCAATTTAAATTAAAATAACAAGTAGAGAATTCTGAGCACTTTGCAATCTCAGTGGTCTCCAGTTTCCACAAAGTTTTTTCTCCAAAAATTCTCTAAAGGGTGTCCACACATAAGAGCAACTGGCAAATGTTCTAAAAACCTTGTCCCTCATAACATCCTGCAAAGAACTAGGACTGATTTCTCCATATTAAAATGAAAAACTGGAATCAAAACCAGTGAGAACAAAGTGACTTTGTCCAAGGTCATTGGATGAGTCATTAGCAAAACTCAGATTTGGGTTCAGCAGGTTTGCATGAGATGGAGCTTATAGAGAACTTAATTACAGTAGCTTCATCTTCCCACTCATCCCAATTTTGCTGAGAGTCAAGGGAACAACAAGATTATAGGATTGTGAGCACCCAGAAAGGCATTTGACAAGACAACAAAGAACAAATCTCCAGCAATGTTCTGTAAATCCTTAACCGAGTTCTGAGGAAGAATTTGAAACTGAGAAGGTGAAGGAGAGCCTGAGGATTTTTGGTAGCAGGACGCAAATGACTTTATCATGTGTGAACGGCTGCAGGGGTGACACCCTTGTCAAACCTTGAACCTTTTATGCAAAGGTTGAGATGGGTTAAATGTACCAAAATGAGGTTCAGAGAATCACAGTCTTCCTCAAGCTGGAAGCGACTCAAAAGGCTCAAGTCCAACTCCCTGCTCTTTGCAGGGTTATTTACAGCTAAGCCAGAGAACCTTGGAATTGCCTGGTTTGGAAGACACCCTTAATATCATCCAGTCCCACCCCTTCCATGGGCAGGGACACCTCCCACTATCCCAGGTTGCTCCAAGTCCCATCCCAACTGACACTGGATGCTCCCAAGGATGGAGAATCCATGGAATATCCAGTGCCAGGGCCTCCCCACCTTCACAGGGAAATAATTTATTCCTAATATCCAACCTAAAGTTCCCCTCTATCAGTCTGACCACATTCCCCGTGTCCTGTCCCTGCAGTTCCTGAGGAAAGTCCCTCTCCTGGTTCCCTGGAACCCCTGGAGATCCTGAGGTCTCCACACAACCTTCGTTCCTGCAGGCTGAACATTCCCATCTCTCCCAGCCTGGCTCCACAGGGAGGAGATCCAGTCACCTCGGAGCACGGTCCAGCTTCTCCAGGGTCTGGAGTTCCTGGCACCAAGAACTCCACAGAGAGTTCCACACACCAAAAGGACAGAAAGGTCCTTGATCTTTCCCAAGTCCATGCAGATTCACCCAACAGAAAGGATGGACAACTGGAGTTGTCCATTCTGGACATCAACTCCAGTTGAAACCAACAATAAAAAATACACCGAGAGCAATGGAGAAGATTCAGACTTACCCAAGTCTCCAAGAAGTCAAGGGAAGCGTTTGGAGGAGTGAGGAGACAGAGGAGCTTTTATATCAGCTGGAGGTACCAGATCAGCATCTCTTGCTCGCCCCAATTTCGAGCTCATGCAACCATCAGGATGATGAAACTGTTTGGTTCATTATTGGCGTTTATGAGGCCTTTCAAATTTGTTTATAATAATGATCTAAACATCACCTGAGATTACAGAGAATTCTTTCATCTTGTGACAACTTGGGGGGGATTAATACCCGGCATTATTCCTGTCACTTCTTTGGAATTATGTCAGGAATCGCCAAGCCAGCTCCTCTTGGTATTAAGTGAATACCTGGAGAGTAGCTCATGCGTTCATAGGAATCACAAATTCCACTGGAATTTAATCCTGAGCAGGAAAAACAGTGAAATCCTTAATTTTGGCCAAGTCCATAGAGTTCCATGGAGGAAACAGAGAGGAACCTTTGTCTTCCTGAGGCTTGTTTGGGTTCAGGAGATAAACGAGAAATGAATTCACGAAGTTAACTAAAGCCACAAAGGGATTGGAGGTCCTGAAGAGACTTTTCCCTGGTGTTGAGGGTCCGATGTTTTTTGGACAAAGATGGCACCTGAGAACATCCAACAGGCCTTAGGAAACGTGGGATTTTTTAGGAAAAAATGGATCCTCTGGTGCAAAAGACTAAGTGTGATGCAAAAGCTTTGAATTATAGCCTTGGGTTCTTAGAAATCATGAGCTCGTGTGATACACAAGTCATAAATCCCCAAAAGGGCTGAGCTGGAAGATTTGGGATGAGGGAACAATCAGGAATTTGGAATGTGTGACACAAAGGCTCCTTCTTGCCTCATTTACGGGTGGGCTGTTTCAATATTGCAGACTCCACGCTGTCGGTGAGCCCTAAATGGTGAGGTGGGGTTCTCAGCCTTTGGGGGACAGGGGCTTTTGGACAATAATCTTTTCAAGCTTCTGGGACGCAAGTCCATGCAAATCCTGTAGATGGTCCAGCAGATTAAAGGCATGGAGCTGGATTTAGGTGCCTCACAATTATGGAATGACATCACATTCAAATGCTTCAGTCAAGATATTTGTGTCCTTGGTATCATCAGTTCAAGGCCAAATACTGGGGGTTTGTCCCCCTTCAGGTTTTTTCCCAATGAAAAGAATTTGAAATAAAAGATTCTGAATAAAACCCAGGAATTCATGGACCGTATTTTATTCAAAAACAATTCCAGGGATGGGACATCCACAGACCCTGGTCCAAGGGAACAAGGGACAGGAAAACAGGGAATGGCCTTGGGTGAGGGTTGGTCACAGCTTGGACTTGATGGTCTGGGAGGGCTTTTCCAACCCAAATAACTCCAAGATTCTGTAACAAAAACCATTTAAGGACCACAGGATGCTTTCCATGCCTTCCTTTGGGTTCCATATTGTTCTCACACTAAGCAGAGAGTAATAATGATAAAAATGACCACCCCAAAGTGGTTCTACATAATTTATTCTCCAGGTATTTTGTTTTTTAATGGCAAAAAAGCTCTGTAGATCAGGTGACCCCAAGCGAGCAGAGGGGTTTTGCCATTAACGATGGAGAAGCTCTAGAAGAGCGTTGGGATAATTCCTGCTGTAACACCAGGGCTGTGAATGGAATGATAACAGGAGTGAGGATGGCTTGTCACCATTCCAGATGAACGAGGGCTCTGTGATGAAACTCACCTATCACATTTCACGAGACTTCGGACCAGCAAATAAACAAAGAGTCAGCAGAGCTTTGAGGAGCTACGTGTCACATTCATTTGGGTTTGCCCCAATTATGCACATCCCCAAATTGCACCTTAGATGCTCTCCAGGACTTTGGGAATGGTATAAAAGCTCTCCCAACCCGGGGCTCTTCACATCGCCTTCCTTGCTTCATTCACCTCAGTGAGAAAGGTAAGCACCATTCTAAGGGATCTCTTCCCTTAGAATTTTTCCTTTAGAAAATTCTAGTCTCTCTTTTCTGCTGTTCTTAATCAAGGTTGGGATCATCCATAAGGCTTCTAAGATTCTTAATAATTGGGTTATTTTGTGATGGATTTATTTTTAGTTGGTGCTGGACATTCATAAGTTTGTAACGGTAAAATTATTCTTTCTTCTTAGTAGAAATTAGAAAAATTACCAAAGCAGCTTCCAAAGACTTGCAGAAGGTTTGTCCAACCAATAAGAATTTTCTATGGGTTTTCAAGGTGAGAATGAAGTACAAGAAATTAGGAATGAGACCCCAGGAGAGACAACAGCTCAGAGAGCGAGTGATTTACAAAAACACTCATGAGAACGAAGGGCAACAAAGACTTGAGACATAACAATTACTTTCAACCGCATGTCCAACTGTCAAATCTTTTAACAATTGAATTTCTGCCTTTTGCTCGCTCCTCAGTGTCCGCTGACCTCCAATCCCTGCAAGATGGCCTGCTACGACCTGTACCCCTCCTCTGCCTGCGGCGTCTTCCGGCCCCAGCCCCTGGCTGACAGCGGGAACGAGCCGTGCGTCCGCCAGTGCCCCGACTCCACCACCGTGATCCAGCCTCCCGCCGTGGTGGTCACCTTCCCCGGGCCCATCCTCAGCTCCTTCCCGCAGGATTCCGTGGTGGGATCTGCTGGAGCTCCCGTCCTGCCGGCCTCTGGAGCCTCCCTGGGCTATGGGGGCTATGGGTCCCTGGGCTACGGGGGTCTCTATGGATATGGGGGCTACGGATCCCTGGGCTACGGGGGCCTGTGGGGCTACGGGGGTCTGGGTTCCTGTGGTGGGTACCGGGGCCTGTTTGGCAGAGCCTTTGGCTCTGGCTATTGCAGCCCCTACTCCTCCTGGTACGGCCGCTACGGCCGCGGCTTCTGGGGCATCTGCTAAACCCTGCGGAAAACCCTCTGGATGATGTAGAAGGGCAAAGCAAAATGCATATTTTTCTTCCCTTTAAATTCTTTTCTGATGCCTCCATGAGTTCAATTCCTCGTTATCTTCTTTATCACGCCTGTGGCTGAATGCAGTGACAGACTGAAGTGTCTTTCAAGCTCTGTGTGCATTTACAATCCTGATGTTGCCATGCTGTTTGTGTTCTTTTCATTCTCATTAAAACTGTTGCATCACTGAAAATCCTCGCGTTGGGCTTTTGTGTTCTCACCCACCCCTGAGTTTGCCAACCTCACTGGGTAAAGCTCCCTGCTCTGCATGAGGCTGCAAAAACATTGAGCAAACCCTGCCCAGAGGGGAAAGTTTCCAAGGAGAGCCTCCCATGGGGCTGTTTTACCCATGAATTTACAATTTCAGTAAATTTACATTTATGGAATTGCAACGTGGTCACAACATCATGGCCAAATATAAGCAGAAGTTTTCCTCTATGTGTTGAGCCCTGTGTGCAGAGGGAACTTCTTCAAATCCACAAGGACCTCATGAGTGGTCATGGAATCACAGAATTGGGTTGGAAGAACCTTGGATATCGTCAAAAACATGGGTTTAATTTATTTATATATTAAATAGAAGTAGAATTTGCGTCTATAATTTATAAGTAGCCTAAAACCCTAAAGTACTCCACCATAAATGTTGTTATCTTCTTATGTCATCAGCAAAGCACAAAGCCACCTCCTGATTCAGGCAGATCCTTATCTCACGAGGAGTTTTCCTCATCTGGTTCAGCTGCCAAAAGATCTCAGGGTACGCATTTTCCTGCAGCAAAAAGATTTGTTGAACATCACCCTGAGAACTTAGAGAACTTCTGACCAGAAAACTGAAGGGAAAATGTGAATTTGAAAGAGGCAAAACCTGCTGCAAAATTGAATGACTCCCAGCAGAACCCAGAGCTTTCCCAGCGGTATCCAAATGACAGGCGGAGTCAATGTTCTACGTCCTGCCAGGACCTGAAAAATCAGTCAGAAAATCTGTCTGCCTCCTGCCAGGACCTGTTAAATCAGTCAGAAAAATCTGTGGTGGTGAAGAGAAGGGTAAGAAGAGCTCCAGTTACAAAAGGAGCCCTTAAGCAGGGTTTAAGCCAGGTTCTAACAGAGATCCCGCGGTGCTTCCAGAGGGAAGGGACAAAGGATCCGTGTGATGACGCCGGATGGTGGCTGAGCCACCACCCTCGGGTCAGGCAATCCTTGAGTTGGTCATCGGGAAATGTGACGGTCTCCAGGTGACGCAAGCGTGGCCGTCATCCAGCAGAGACTTCTGAGGGACAAGGGAAAAGCTTGGAAATCTCACGGAAACGGGAAAATTGGGTGTCCAGTTCTGGGCAAGACGGACATGGAGGGGCAGGAGAACGTCCAGGGAAGGGAAAAGGGCTGGAACAGCTGGAGAAAGGAATGGAGAACCCTGAGGGAGCCGTGGGGGGCTCAGCATGGAGAAAAGGGAGATCCAGGGGGAGTTTGGGATCTGCCAGGTGGGATTTGTGATCTGACCCCAGGGAACAGGGACAGGACAAGAGGGGACAGCCTTGAGCTGTGCCGGGATTGGAAATTTGGGAAAATTCCTCCTGGAAAGGCCTTGGAAGGGGCTGCCCGGGGAGGGTTAGAGTGGCCACCCCTGTCCATGTCTGAGGAATTCCTGGACGTTGGTCTGCATGAGCAGGTGGGGGTGGTCCCAGCTGGACTCGGTGACCTTGGAGCTCTTTTCCAGCTTAAATAACTCTGGGATTCTCTGAAACTCCAGACAGGATCGAGGAGGGGCTTTTGATACGTCCTCTGAGCTGCTGGAGACCTCGAGGCTCCCATTAACGCGTTTATCACGCCTGGGTCACCTGGTGGTGACGAAAGAGTTTTGCTCAATGTTTCTGTTTATGAGTTGGTTCAAATTCTGACGCTGCACAAAACACAAATTACAACCCAAAGATTTCTTTCATCTCAGCATTTTAATTGGCTGAGGTTCACGCCTGGTAACGTTCCATGAAATACACTCAGAATGACATCGCGGATTCTGCTGCTTCATTTATTCACCTCTCATTAGCTGGCATAATGATGCTGGCTCAGCTGTTAATCATCATTTTCATCTGCTTGAAGGTGCAAGATTTTTTCCTTTCTTCTTCGCCCGTGGTAGATAAAAAATTGATGAAAACCTCGGTGCCTTCTTTGTGAAATCAGCAACTTTTATGTGCAATTGGAATTTGGACTTGGATAAGACCATTCAGAACTTTTCAGAGGAAATTACAGATAATTTTTAAACCATCCAGATCCGTGTTTTGTCTCACAGATGTTCAGGCTACAAACAGAGAAAATGCGAATTAAAACACCAGCACAGAAGAGGAAACTCACCCAAATAAATGAAAACTTAAATTAGACGAGAAAATCCTCTGGGGTGAGAAGCCATGAGCTGGTGAAGGGAACAGGGAGAGTTCACTTGGACAATTTTTTTTAAAGTTTTATTTTTAATAGTAATTATAAGACTAATTTTAATTACATTTCAAAATGCTGAGCTCTTAGAACACAACCACATATTTATATTGCAATAATCACACCCCATTTCACACATAAACTATTAAGGAAGTTTTGGGAAGTGCTTAAAAACACACCCAAAAAATATTTGGACACTTTTTGGGGAGAATTATTCCTATAATCCACTGGGGACATCCCGATGTTTGGGGGAAAGAACCTCCCAATTTCAGTGTAACTTTGGTAGGAATGTGTTTATTTAATAACCCATCCACAGCAAATGAGGGGTTTTGAGGTGGGATCTGGTGATGTTCATCTGTGGAAAAAACACTGATATCCCTCCAGAAAAAAAACAAACAACCAAACTTCGATTGAAGCCCTGTTTTAGTTACTAAAATATTGTGTTTTCTGCCTTGAGGAAAATGGAATTTCCCAATCCCAGTGGGCAAATCCACGATTCCCAGAACGACCTGTGGTTTGTGGCTGCGGGTGCAAAACCCATCAGGAGGCTCCTTGCACCTCTCCAAGCATTCCATTGCAAAATCAGGGAGCAGAAGTGATGAGAGCCGGGATCCGGAGCCCCGAACCCCCAAACCTGTGCACGGCAGCAGGTTCTGACTCCCATTAAAGTCATTAATGAAGCTAATGAAGGAAGGGCTCAGCAAATGGGGTTCAATTCCCGCTGGGAGGGATGGAGCTGCTCCATCAGGATCCGAGATGAAAGGGAGCCGGCAGCTGGAATGTGCTGGGCAGAGATTCAGGGTGGTTGTGCAAAGCGAGGAGAGTTTCGTCACTTTGGGGAGTGATTCCGGCTCCTCCGAGCTGGCGACTCCCGGGCTCGGCGTGTTCAGCCCCGGGGCATCCCCGGGTTGGGATAAAAGCAGCAGCTCTGCGCAGCTTTTCCATCATTCTGCTTTTCTCCTCTCCATCAGGTAAGTCCGATGTGTTTTCTTTCCTCTCCCAGCTCCAGAATGCCTTTGCTATTTGATTTTTTATTCCAGCTATTGTTCGCAACCATTGCATTCATTTCCAGGGCTTTATTTTTCCTTTATTCTTATTTTTATTCTTTGAATTTTCATTTTTTTCCAGTATCCTGGCAAGTATTTTGCTGCAAGGATTTAGGAGCCAAATCCATTTGAGGCATTTTTTACTTAGGGATGACTTTTTTCCCTGTTATTTGTATTTGGCCATTCTTGGACTGACAGCAGAATGAAAATTCAGGATGGCACAAGCTTTAAAATGCTGAATTTTCCTGCATTTCAGTCCATGACTGAATCAAGGAAATTTGCCCATGCCCTGAGCTGTGAAATGATCCAGCTGAAGAAAGAGTTTGTTTTAATTCTAATCATTTATATATTTAAAAAAATGTAATTATTTTGTTATTTTCACCACAGCCAAAAAGAAGGAAAGTAGACTCGTGCTATGACCCAGTGAATAAAATAATATTTCTACTTTTTTTTACTGGGGAAAACCATTAAACTGAAGGCTTTTATGCCCAGATATCCAGGTGGAAAAAAGTTTTAAATCCTTATTTTTATCTGATGAAGGAATTGTGTTCCTTCCATCCTATCCCATTTCCATCTCCATCCCATCTCCATCCCACTCCATTTCCATATCTATCCCGTCCCATTTCCATCTCCATCCCATCTCCATCTCACTCCATTTCTGTCTCCATCTCACTCCATTTCTGTCCCATCCCATCCCATCCCATCCCATCCCATCCCATCCCATCCCATCCCATCCCATCCCATCCCATCCCATCCCATCCCATCCCATGGGTCCCATCCCATGGATCCCATCCCATCCCATTCATCCCATCCCTTCAGTCCCATCCCATCCCATCCCATCCCATCCCATCCCATCCATTTCCATCTCCCATCCCCATCTCTCTCTCAACCCAAACCTGCTCCTGTCCCACCCCAATTTTTCCCCCGAGGATGTTTCTCCCCATTTCCCAGCTCCCCCAAACCCCACCTGCCCCTTCCCCAGATCCTCGGTTTTCAGCAGCTCCTTCTCTGCATTCCAGGACCCTCCACCTCTGCCGGGAAATGTCCTGCTACGACCTCTGCCCCACCACCGGCATCTCCTGCCCGCAGCCCGTGGCCAACAGCTGCAACGAGCCGTGCGTCCGGCAGTGTCCGGACTCCTCCGCCCTCATCCAGCCGCCCCCGGTGGTGGTCACCTTCCCCGGGCCCATCCTCAGCTCCTTCCCGCAGCAGGCCGTGGTGGGATCTGCTGGAGTCCCGGCCTTCGGGGGCTCCCTGGGCTCCGGGGGTCTCTACGGCTCCGGGGCTTTCCCGGGATACGGCACTCGCTCTGGATACGGAATCTCGGCACTGGCCAGCGGCTCCTGCGGCCCCTCGGCGTCACGGCGCTTCAGCCGCCTCCTCCGCGGCTCCTGCGGGCCCTGCTGAGGGCAACGGAGCCTCCAGGGAATCCCGGGAATGCCCAAATCCACGGCCACGAGCGTGAGGGGTTGGCATTTCCATGGGCGCCTTCACATTCCTGATCTTTCTTCTACTTCTTGTTTGGCACCTCCTCGTTGTTTGCTTTCGCTGCCTATTCCAGCATTCCCAGTTTATTGGACTGGCATGGAACAGCCCATTCCCTGATCCAGCATTCCCGATTTATTGGAAGGGTGTGGAACGGCCCATTCCCTGTTCCGGCATTCCTGATTTACTGGA